TAATTGGAATTTTCTCTTACAGCTTGAGCCTAAGTGTGTCGCAGGATACCCTCTAGGTGATAGTTCTTGATTACTTTTTGATAAATAATTCGTTTTTATTGCAAATTAGGAGCACTATTTATCAATCTGTAATTAAAGACGTGAAGAAATTCTGTCTTTTTTAAAAGCAAAAATTTTTGAGGCGAAATACCTAAAAAGAAGTTTGTAAAAAAATGAATCCGCCTCAACAATATAGAACTTAAATACACTTACCTATTTTATTATTCTGACAACAAAACCACCTACTTATTTATGTGTCTTTAAATGTAAATTAGGTATGTCCACTTTCAAAATTGAGTCTTATTCATTATGGTCGAAATATGACGGTTGTAAATAAAATAGTATACAAACCTCGGTAGGAAGCTCTCGAGATCATAGCTAACCATGTAATGAAACACTTCCCACCTCGGTGTGTAATATACTATTTATGTCCTATATTACTTTTATTGAGAAAATAAATGGGAAATTTTGGCCTGCGAAAGCAGCTTAAAAAATCAAGCGCATTTCAAAAGCTTTTCAAAAATTGCCTGAAGATGAGCAAAAATTTGAAGCATTTTGCTTCTAGATGTGAATTCTGAATGTGAACCTCCAACTTGGGAAAACAACATCAAAAACCGAACGCGATTTTGAAAAATCGTGAAAAATTTCCTGATGGTAATAGAAAACCTAAACTTTGCCCACTTATATAAGGAACTTTCCCCTACAAACCTGGAAAATTTGTCGAAAATCAAACGCATATTCAGAAGCTTCTCGCAAATTGCTTAACGAGGAATAAAAATTGAAACATTTTCCGCTTCTTTTTTTTCACTCATTTTGTAAGATTGTCAAAAATTTCCTAATGATGGTGGAAAACCCAAACTTGGTCTACTTGCAAAACAAACTTTCCCCAAAAAAACTAATTCAAAAATTAATGTTTTACGCAGGAAGCTCATTCTTCGCAGTGAAGCGAGTGGTTGGAGAGCCGGATCATTGGCAGGAGCACATTCTGGCCCTCAATCGGGGCGGCGTTCATTTCCTGGACATGAACACCCACGAAACGTTGCAACATTGGCCTTTCGCTGAGGTGATTAGTACCAGAAAGGTGCGTTCTGAGGACGGCGCTCTTTTCCTGGACATGAAGTGCGGCAATCTGCTGCAGCAGAGAGTCACCAGACTGCAAACGGAACAAGCGCACGAAATTTCCAGACTGGTCAGGCAGTACATTAATCTGGAGCAGGAGCACAGCACCAGGAATAAATAGAGGACAGGTTTTAAAGCGGATTCAATATAACGAATTTCCCACCCATGGTGCAAATAGTCGAGCTGGAAGCTCATGTGGGCGCCAAACACATTTGGTTACCGGGGCAACGCGACTAAATATGCGCTGCTATTGGCCCAAGCATGCGCCGCTCTAGAAATTAGGGGGCGCGAAACAGCAATAAGACTGTTTGCACCATGTTTGTGAGAAAATACACGCATTGGATCAAGACACGCTCAATCACTTTTAAAAAAATATTTAGTGCATCTCGGGCAATTGCTCAACTGTTGTAGTTTTGCTCATGATTTTTGCATATTAGTTCTCGTTGAAACTGCCCCTAAAAATTGTAATTATTACCGGGTAGTTCTGCTCCTCTAACCGCTGAACCCCCATAACTGCGGGTTTACATTTTATTTTGATGGAATTTACACAGATTTGTTGTAAATATTACGTACGCATATGTTTTAGTCGTTATTGTTTATAAGTTGAAACGTATATATGGTGATGTACCAAATTTCCATTAGTAGGTATGTTTTGCCGCCTTTTGAGAATGGATGCGAAAACTCGTATCGTCGAATCAAAGGCATTGACAATTATCTACTCTGTACCAAATTTTAGGGAAAGTGTAGCCTATTAAAGCTTAACCACAATTTTAATTCGTTATTTACTATGTAACTAGGCTTTATACCAGTTTAGTCATTATACATTACTTCTATAGTGAACAGTCAATTTCGTCCAATTTCCGAAAAGGAAAACAGATTTGTAAACGGATGCAAACTAACATACGCGTTAAATGTAATAAAGCATTTGTATGTTTAACACTGTTGTTTTTTGGTACCAAACAGGAGCTTTTTCCTCTTGCACGATTGGCACTATGCAAGTTTTTTCGCGGAACTCTCTTCAGCTAATTAAACTTCGGTTGTTGGACTGTGTCGAGGTGTTTTAAATCCGTTTTTCTTCCTTTCGCCCCAATGTTCGGCTGCATATTGCACGTAACCGGGGTCCAAAGGCCCGCTGGGCGGCCTAAAGGGCACATCCTCATGATTTTGGGGCCTCTGAGTTGGGGGGATGTTGAATTTTTTCGCAGTTTCTACAAAGGAAATTGTGATTTGATCATCTTCTGGCAGAAAAGGTTCACACCAAAGTTACACAAACAAATTGCATTTTACGAAATAGACAAATAGGAGAAATCGCCAGCTATTTACAATCATCTTAGAGTGTTTAATAATCTGATGTCATCAATTTAGCCGACAAGCATTCAAATGAAGCAAAAACCTTGACTTTTCCATTCTCCATTCAGAAAACATTTAAGCCTGCAGTTGATTTTTGTAGAAGATTGGTGATTTATTTAGCTAATACAGTTTTTATTAGGGAACTACAACTAGGCTTTATTCTCCTGAATGGCATCCACAATGTCCGCAATAAGCCCCTTCATAACACCCTGGTAATGCTGGTTGTCCCAAAACATGTCAATCAGCTCATCCCGGTGATCTTTTATGTAATATTTGGACTTTTCATTATCGTGCATAACTTCGACCCGAAAGTCTGGATCGATGTGCGTAATATTGCCGTAGCAGAAGGCCAACATTGTGGCGGCAAACTTTGCATTTTTCAGACTCTTTTCAAACTGCTCCTTCGGAAACACTTCCTCAGGCTGAAGGCCGAAGGCCTTCAGATTTCTGGCAACTTTTGCGTAATACCCCTCGATCAGCGTGAGCAAATGCTCATCTCGCACTTGTTTGCTGGTAGAGGAAACAATGCAGAACATCAACTCCGCAGCAGGCGGAATGTAGCGCAACATTTGAAAGTCGATGATTTTCACGTCCTCGGCCGTCTTGGCCTGATTCATCTTCAGAAGATAGTTGGCAATGTACATATCGCCGTGATTGATCACATTTCGGAACTCTTCATGCGTCTTCAAGGTGTAAATCTGGTAAAAAGCCTCAGCAAGTGCAGTGTTGAGGTCGCTATCGTCCATCCCAAGTTTTTTAGTCAGATCCGGACACTTGGCGGCCATATGTTGGAGAGCGATTACATTTTGGGAGAGCATATTTTTCATGACACCAGTATTAGGGTCAAATACAACGTCTTTGAGAAACTCGCCATAAATTTCCGAAAGTTTCACTGGCCGTCCTGCAGTCTTTGAGAGTATCTCTTCCAAAATAATCGAACAGCAGTGAAAGTTTGCCAGCTTTGAAACCACCACCCTCACAGACTGGTAGTCCAAAATATTGTTGGGGGTTAAGCTGGTGAAGCCCTGTTCGTTCAAGTCATCGAGGACTAGCAAAGAACAGTTTCTGCTCAAGTAGCACTTAGGGGCGTAGTCCAGGAGATCATGCAGGCCGTGCTCCACAAAGTCCGGATAGAGTGTGGTGTAGAAGAAGTCTTCCTTTTTTCCTGGTCCGGCATGTATGACTCTCTTTGCTAGCTCTGTGTTGGTAATCAGGAATTTCGCAAACAGCTGGATTGGTTTGGCTTCTCCTCCATCTCCTGGCGCAGCTCTGATATCCAGATGGAAATATTCCCCCAGATGGCCATTGGTTTCATCGAGAGGCACAAGATTGTATCCTTCAAGCGTGTAGTCAGTGGACTCCAGATAGTTCTTCACCACTTCGTTAACATCCTCTTGATTGATTATTGGGCAGGCGAAGTAATTGGAGACATTCTGCGCTAGTTCTTCGACTAAATCCCTGTTCTGGGATCGGTCCATGGTGCTCAGCTGCTGGATCTTCACTAGCGGGAGCAGAATCTTCAGCTGCTCCTCCTGGTAGCGGAGCGGTTTAGGGCGCTGATTCTCTCTGAGGTGGTTTAGGGTGTTGCAGTAGTGCCTCAGAAGGGCCTCAAAGTGCTCTTGCCTGAAACGGGCATCGCTTAGCGAGAAAATGTACATCAGGGCATCAAACATCGGTGGAAGAGACTTGCTAGGAGACACATCGAGGAAAAAACCCCTCTCTCCTAGCACATAGGCGTTAGAAGCCCCTGGGCTCCAAACACTCCGAACCAGTTGCTCAGTTTTCAACAAACCATCCACATTTTCCTGCAGCTCTTGCAGGACTGTCTCAATTTTTTCTTGGTCAAGCTTTGCAAACGCTGGCTCGTCACATAGAGGTTCGCCAATTGGGTAACTCGCAGCTCCATCAGGCTGGATCAAATCGGCCACTTGAACTTCAGCTAAGGTTTCCAAAAGAGCCCTCAAATGGTTGAGGTTGTTGCGAGCTGCTGGCTGAAGATCGCGCATGGAATTTGCATCAAAGGCTAGAAAGACCTCGTTGGGGTTGTTTGGGAGGGTGAAAATCGCGCTTAGTAAAGCTGGGTTTGTTTGCTGGCGCACCACAGCATCCGCGGGCACTTTTACTAACACAAACTGTCGCTTGAAGCCCGCACTTTGAACGTCCAGTAGGTAGTTGGTCTGCTGCCAGTCTGCGACGCTGTAGATCAACTCACTTTCCGCGAAAATGGGGAAAGCGGATTTTAAAACATCCTCGATTTGACTGGGAGCGAACGGGCCAGAAGTCGCCATCTTCTAAGACAAGCTACTAATAAGTAACTGATAATTATTAGGCGAAATTTGTGATGAAATATGCCGGTTTAATCTGCGTAGCTTTGGGAAACAAAGGTCAACAATTAGATTCTTTTTTCCAGCGTGAATTTGCAAATTTTGGATAATCGACTGATACGGGAGTGTTATCAGTTTGCTAGACTCACTGCGGGTTTACGGCTATGAGGATATTGCATAGCCTTCAATCGCGTGTAGACATTTCTGGGGATAAATTAGACAATAATAAGTCTAAATAAGCGAAGTCCGACGGCTCAACTTGAGGAGTTTTTGAGGCTGCTCAAAAGACTGCTGGACAATTTCTTCCCGACGTTTTGCGAAATTAAGTTTGCATTCATCTACAACTATGATCTTCTGTTGATCCATTATTTAATATTTCCGATAGTATGACCGAATGAATGAACCAACCCAAAACATTGCAGTTAAGCAACGTAAAATTATGGCAAAAGAAGCGCTTAAAGCAGCAGAAATGAACACACAAAAATTGGCACTTTACCAAAGTGCCCACTGGAACCCAGCCTGCCCACTTCACAAATGAATACCTAAAGCTTCTAAATGTATATTAATCACAACAGGTTGTAGATAAGTTCTATATTGTTGAGGGGGATTCATTTTTTACAAACTTCTTTTTGGGTATTTCGCCTCAAAAATGTTTGTCTTTAAAAAAGACAGAATTTCTTCACGTCTTTTATTACAGATTGATAAATAGTGCTCCTATTTTACAATAGGAACGATTTATTTATCAAAAAGTAATCAAGAACTATCACCTAGAGGGTATCCTGCGACACACTTAGGCTCAAGATGTAAGAGAAAATTCCAATTAGTAGAGAAATTGATTTGAAAAATTACCTTGACGTTTCGATAGCTATTTTCTGCTATCGTTATCAAAAGAACCTAAATGAACCTAAAAAAGAGTATGTTAATAAATTGTGTAACAATAGTGGGGGTAATACAGTATATCAAAATTCGCTCTGATAATTCGTCTGTGCAAATTGTCAGTTATGTGGCTTTGACTTAATCTCATTGTTTAAATTAATAAAGGTAATGTTAATTAATAATTTTGGTG